GACTGAGACCCATAGGGACACATTGATACCCATGGAAACCCCATAGAGACCCCATAGAGCCCCATAGCGACCCACTGAGACCCATAGGGAACCATAGGGACCCATAGAGACCCATAGTGACCCATAGAGACCCATAGTGACCCATAGAGACCCATTGGGACCCATAGCGACCCACTGAGACCCATAGGGAACCATAGGGACCCATAGAGACCTATAGTGACCCATAGAGACCCATTGGGACCCATAGCGACCCATAGAGACCCATAGGGACCCACTGAGACCCATAGGGACCCACAGAGCCCCACAGCGCCCCACACTTACCAGCAGGCCTCCTGCCCACCCCACAGCGCAGACCCACTCCCTGTGGGCGTTCTCCCATCGCTGCAGCTGCTGCCCCATAGCGGCGCCCGATGCGCCCCACACCGCCACGGCCTGACCCATAGCAAAGGGGTCAGCCCCATAGGGACCCCATAGCGACCCACAGAGCCCCATAGAGCCCCATAGAGACCCATAGGGATCCATAGAGACCCATAGAGACCCCTTAGATACCAATTACGCTCCATAGAGACCCATAGAGCCCCACAGAGACCCCATAGAGCCCCATAGGGAACCACACTGCCCCACAGCCCCCCACAGAGCCCCACAGAGCCCACGGTACCCCATAGGAGCCCTCAGCCCCATAGAGCCCCACCCCTAACCCCCACAAACCCCATAGAGACCCCATAGAAACCCATAGAGCCCCACAGAGACCCATAGAGACCCATAGAGACCCCATAGAGACCCCATAGAGACCCATAGAGACCCCATAGAGACCCATGGCGACCCATAGAGACCCACAGACACCCCATAGATCCCCCATACCCGATCCCGGCCCCCCGTCGCCAGCCGAGTCTCCGTGGGGCAGAAGCTGAGAGCTGCCGTGGGGCCGAGGTGGGGGTACAGAAGGTGGCCCCCCCCCTCTGGCCCCATAGAGCTGTGGGGCAGCAGGGCCTGCAGGGGGAACAGCAGCAGCGCCCCGTCCTCTGCAGGAGGGGAGGGTGAGGAACAGGGACCCCATAGAACACATAGGGACCCACAGGGACCCACAGGGACCCAATAGAACCCATAGACCCCATAGGGACCCCATAGAACCCATAGGGACCCATAGGGACCCGTAGAACCCACAGGGACCCATAGAGACCCCATAGAACCCATAGGGATCCATAGAACCCATAGGGACCCATAGGGACCCCACAGAGAACATAGAAAATCCATAGGGACCCATAAGGACCCATAGATCCCCATAGAGACCCACAGAGACCCACAGAACTCATACAGCCCCATAGAAACCATTGAGCCCCATAGGGACCCATAGGGACCCCACAGACCCCACAGGGACCCATAGAGACCCAATAGAACCCATAGACCCCATAGGGACCCATAGGGACCCATAGGAACCCCATAGAACCCATAGGGACCCATAGGAACCCATAGAACCCATAGAGACCCATAGAGACCCACAGAGACCCATAGAGACCCATAGAGCCCCATAGAGACCCACAGAGACCCATAGAGAGCCATAGAGCCCCATAGAGACCCCATAGAGACCCAGAGAGACCCATAGAGAGCCATAGAGCCCCATAGAGACCCCATAGAGACCCACAGAGACCCATAGAGAGCCATAGAGCCCCATAGAGACCCCATAGAGACCCAGAGAGACCCATAGAGACACCATAGAGACCCCATAGAGACCCCATAGAGACACCGTAGAGACCCATAGAGACCCATAGAGACCCCATAGAGCCCCACAGAGACCCATAGAGACCCATAGAGACCCCATAGAGACCCCATAGAGACACCGTAGAGACCCATAGAGACCCATAGAGACCCCATAGAGCCCCACAGAGACCCATAGAGACCCATAGAGACCCATAGAGACCCATAGAGACCCCATAGAGACACCGTAGAGACCCATAGAGACCCATAGAGACCCATAGAGACCCATAGAGACCCTATAGAGCCCCACAGAGACCCATAGAGAGCCATAGAGACCCATAGAGAGCCCCATAGAGACCCATAGAGACCCCATAGAGACCCATAGAGACCCATCGAGACCCATAGAGACCCCATAGAGCCCCATAGAGAACCATAGAGACCCATAGAGACCCATAGAGACCATAGAGACCCATAGAGACCCATAGATCCCCATAGCACCTTTAGCCCCGCCCCTACCCGTGCTGACCGCGATCCCATTGGCTGTGGCCGACATCGCCAGCACCTCGCCTCTCCCCACTGGCCGATCCCAGAGTAGGCGGGGCTTGAGGTGGGCGGGGCCGGGCAGCTCCCATCCCCATAGGGCGCCGTCAGGCCCCGCCCCCGCCAGCACCGTCCCGCCCACCCAGGCCAGGCACGTGATTGGTCCGCTGGAAAGGCAGAGCTGGGGGGCGGAGCCTGGAGGGAAATGGAGGGAGAATGAATGGAGGGGGGGGATAATGGGGGTAATTAGCGGAGTAATTAACGGGGGTGATTAATGAGGGTAATTAACGGGGGTAATTAATGGGGGTGATTAACAGGGTAATTAATGGGGGTGATTAATGGGGGTGATTAACGGGGGTAATTAAAGGGGGTAATTAATGGGGGTGATTAATGGGGATAATTAATGGGAGTGATTAATGGGGGTAATGGTTACAATGGGGTCACAATGATACAAATAGGGACCCATTGGGACCCATAGAGCCCCACAGAGCCCCATAGAGCCCCATAGGGACCCATAGAGACCCATAGAGACCCATAGAGCCCTATAAAGACCCATAGAGACCCTATAGAGCCCCATAGAGCCTCATAGAGACCCATAGAGACCCGTAGAAACCCACAAAGTCCTATAGAGCCTCATAGAGACCCCATAGAACCCCACAGAGACCCACAGAACCCCCCCGAGTCCTATAGAGCCCCATAGAGACTCATAGCGCCCCACAGCGCCCCCCGGAGGCGCTCACCCCATGGCGCCCGATGCACGGCGCTGACTCCCCCATGATGCCCCACGGCCAGCCGGGATCCCCAGGGGTCAAAGGTGACGCAGAGGGCCGGGCCTGGGTCACGTGACTCTTCCTCCAGGTCAGGTGATCCTCCGTCCGGGTCACGTGACTCCACTTCCGGGTAGGCGCTGGGCGCCGGCAGCAGCACCTGGAGGCGGCCGCGGTGCGACGGCCATTGG